TTTACTCAGTCTTCAGTCACTGGAGATAATTTTTCTTGGCAAGGTAAAAACAAAGTTTTGGGATGGCTGACAAATAATGCAAATCTTAATTCTTTTGGCGGTGTGTTTCAACACTCAAACTCTGCGAGTCCCAGAACCTTGATTTTCTTCAGAGGCATTAGGTAAAAAGAAAATGATGCGAGACTTACCTTCTGAAAGACCTGATAGTTGGATTTAGACCAGATGTCAAGCTGCAGCAAGAAAAAAAAAAGATGTATTAACATACATGGATTCTTTGGCATGAAAGTCACACAAATGTCTTATTATTAGGCAATTTGTTGCCAAAAACTGGTAACTCCAAATTCAGAAATAAACAGGCAACTTGGAGATATAGCAGCACTGAAAGGCTGTGCCAACAGGAGAGCATTCATCTCTCCCTTGGGTTTCCTGTGTGCGGCAAACTGCTCTAGCACAGCTCAGGCTCTCAGAATTCCCCACATCACATTCTTTTGCTGGACTCTGCTGAGTTAATTCCTCCCAGAACGAATGTGCAAAGCCACTCTGCTGACCTCTTTGAAATCCCAGTTTCCCTAAAATGCCTAAGGGAAACTGCCAACTAATACTGGCAAAGTGAAGGGCCAGTAGAGATTCCCAGTACTTATTTGTACATATCTTATCATTTAGGTGCCAGCTGCACCTGTGTTGAATACGAAAACCCAACAGCAGTTTTAAACTTAGATCTCTTTCTAGACTCCAAGCCAGACCCTCATTTGCATTCTGTCCAGACAGCCATTAGGATTTCCTATTACTAATCTGATGACCTGGCACACACAATTTACATGTGTGGCACTATTAATTGCAACAGGAGAGTATTATGTTTGTATCAATAGAAGTAGTTCATTTTTACATATACCAGGCTGAGGAGGTACTCGAATTCTTGGCACTAAAGATTTAACACAAGAAAACCTGTCTTATGTGAAATTCCACTATGAAGGATATACCTTTCATTATCTTTCAAGACTCAGCTACTGACGCTTAATATATGAGGAAAGTTAATTAAACAAACTGTGGCACTTCTTATTGAAATAAAGAACCTGGAGTGCATTCATGCAATTAATTTTGATGGGATGAACGAGCCCAGAGATTCCAAGATGTTAGCATATGTCTGCTACTGTATAATGCTATAGACTGAAGAGGGTCACTGTTTTAAGCACAAAGGGTGCCTATACACGAGCAGCGAGGTTGCTCCAATGTGCTGTAATTACCACACTCCAGCAGCCTCCGGCATCTCATGCATCAGTGTCCCCGCACTTAAAAATGGCAGCAGGGATGCCGTTTTGAAGCATGGGGACACCAATACACGAGATGCTCCAGGTGCTTTAATCAGAGTGGCTCTTGGAATAAAGCGCTGCTGCCCTCCCCAGCACGTGTACAAATGCTCAAAGACCTTGACCTGCCTAATCCCAACCAACAATCCCCATTAATATCTCTTTAATCATAGTATCGTAGTACTTAGGGTCGGAAGGGACCTAAACAGATCATCAGGTCCAACCTCCTGCCCCGGGCAGGAATGGGTGCTGGGGTCATATTACCCCAGCCAAATATTTGTCCAGCCTCCTCTTGAAGACCCCCAAGGTAGGAGAGAGTACCACCTTACTTGGGAGCCCATTCCAGAGCCTGGCAGCCCTAACTAAAGTAATGTCTCCTGACGTCCAGCCTGAACCTTCTCTCTAACAGTTTGTGGCCATTATTCCTAGTAACCCCGGGGGGTGCTCGGGGGAACAGAGCCTCCCCCAATTCTCGCTGGTCCCCCCCTGGTGAGTTTGTAAATGGCCACCAGATCCCCTCTCAGGCCCTTTAGCCTCTCTTTGTAGGGCCTGCCCCGCAGCCTCTGGACCATGCGAGCGGCCCTCCTCTGCACCCTCTCAATGCTAGCCACATTTCTCTTGAAGTGCGGCGCCCAGAACTGGAGGCAGTACTCTAACTGTGGTTTGACCAGTGCCGCATAGAGGGGAAGGATCACCTCCCTGGACCTGCTTGTGATGCATCTGTAGATGTACGACAAGGTGCGGTTATAGCCTTACTGACCACTTCCTCGCACTGGCAGCTCATGTTCTTCCTGGAGTCAACAATGACTCCAAGATCCCTTTCTGCCACTGTGTTGACAAGAAGGGTGTCCCCAGCGTATAGGCATGTTGCTGGTTCCTTCTCCCTAGATGCAGCACCTTGCAGTTGTCTGCACTGAACTCCATCCTATTCTCATCCACCCACCTCTGTAACCTGTTTAGATCTAGCTGGATTCTGTGCCTCCCCTCCAGCGTGCCCGCCTCGCCCCACAACTTGGTGTCGTCAGCGAATTTGGACAGCATGCTTTCCAAACCCACATCCAGATCACTGATGAAGATGTTGAACAGTACAGGCCCCAGGACCAAGCCCTGAGGGACTCCACTGCCCACATCTCTCCAGAATGAAAACAACCCACCCACCACCACTCTCTGGTTGCGACCATCTACCCAATTTGCCACCCATCTGAATGTGTGGGCATCAATGCTGCAGTCACCTAGTTTTTTTTTTTTAAGAGGATGTGGTAGGAAACCATGTCAAAGGACTTCTTAAAGGCCAGGAAGACGGCATCCACCCCAACACCCTCATCCAGGGACTGTGTGACCTGACCATGGAAAGAAACCAGGTTAGTCAGGCAGGACCTGCCCTCAGTGAACCCAATCTTTTATTTAAGATACAAAAAAGCAAGTAAAAGCATTAAAGGAATTTAGCTGTCTTGGAATGTTAAGCATGGTAATAAACGTCCTCTCCAGACACAGGGAAAAGAAGTTAGCTGAGATGGCAGTGAGCTGCTGTTATCAAAGTCCAATCCTGTCTGTTGGGGAAAGGATGCAACAGGGGAGAGAAAAAAACCCAGCAAAGACAGAAGCAGGAGCTCCTCATTATGGTACTTACTCTTACCTGTAACCTCATTGTAGAAGAAACGTGGGAACAGCATGTGGTTTTACCAGCCATACTGAACCATTGCCAACTCCTTCCCATATTAGGCTATTAAGATATTTTTTCTTTTAGTTCTTTTCAGGACATGGCCTTCCAGCAGTGTTGCAAAAGAATCTTAGCTGCCTATGCTGGAGTCCTACTAATCCAAAAGAGAAAAATAGGGAAGAAAAATAACGTGGGGAAACGGAAAGGATGGACAAAGGAGGAAGTGACAGCAGAAACCCATGTCTCATATTCCAGGTATTGATTAGGAATTGAAAGCCTAGGGTGGTAGAGATATCTGGGTCTGTTTTTCCAGTCCAGACTGACCAGGATCCTACCTTTCAGGATCAAGGCAATGAAGGCCAGGGTTATGCTGTTGTAAAAGGTGATGGTCACAACAGCTATGATGGTCCATCCAGCCTGCTCATTTATTACTAATGCCATGGTTTCCCCACAAATTATCTTCACAAAGGACACAAAGATGAAGCGATGGGCAGAATTGCCTATACTGTTTTCTCCACCAATGACACTTTGTTCATTATTTTTTAATTTGCCCTGCTTTTGCTCATCAGTCACAAATTTAACACAGTCCGTGGGTGGTAACGGGCCTTTTTATTTGGGCTAATCCAATCCAATTGGTGTACGAGCTTTTGTGTAATACAGGTGACCTAGTAGGTATTATTAAAAGCAGGTTTCTCTTGATCACTGTTCTGCTTAATCTTTCCCACCTGTTCTATAGCACACGTGGAGACATTTCCCACTCACTAGGATGGCAGTTTTGTGGGGTCTGAATATACCCACATAAGGGCTCCAGGATCATGTGGGATACAGCGGAGAATGAAGAACAAGAAAAGCATTAGCGTGGGAAACTTGCATCCCTGCAAGTTTCATCCAAAATCAGGCAAAAAACAAAGTTATAGATATTTAATTGATTCCCCCATTATACCCTATGGCCGGATCTCTGAGGCAGCTCCGAAGCTTTGGAGCCGCTTCGAGGCAGAAACCAAGTCCGGAGCTCCAGATTGGATCGCTGCTGACTCGCACAGGCCTATCTAACAACAAGACCCAATTAAATTAAACGGACCTTGTTTTAGAGTTAAGAAAAAAGTAGCGTACTTCTGCAAGAGTCCACCATACAATTTTAACAAAATCCCATAAACAAGTCCACCTGAACCACTGTGCCTCTTCAGAGACAGTAAAGTCTACATTCATTTGCCAGCAATTGTGCTGATCTGTGTGAATATTTATCAGCTTCAGCCTGTCCCTACAACAAGGGCATTTCTACTAGGCTTTTGCGGGTGGTGTGTCTACAAATTAAGCTGGAGCGGGTGTACAGGGGCCAAAGCAAACGCCCCTCATTCTGCTCTATTTAGATTCACAGGCAAGGAAACTCTTAAGCTAGACTTAAGATGCCAAGTTCTGTAGATGCCTTACCTGCCATCCAAACGCACATCCCAGTACACATACAAGACTTGAAGAAGGGAGACAGAGTCTGTCCCTCTTTTCCACACCTTCAAGTTGCCTTACTACTTATAGGGCCTAGTGTGTTTGTAACAATATATTAGCAAAACCTCACACAAACCCCTCAAAACCAAAAGCTCAGGCTTGCTGTGGATTTTTACTCCAGACTTTCAGCTTCCACTTTACAATTCATTTATATTTTTGAAGTTTTCTCCCCTGCCAGAAAGGCTAAAAACATGATTTTTAAAGTGATAGTACCTGCAAAGCATTTAAAGAGGACAGCATGCTTTCCCCCATTTATCCGTTAGAGCCCTAAGGACTCTGCAGTCACAGATTTTTTGCTAAGTCAATTAATCACAGGAAAGAAGGGCCAGAAGGGACCTCAGGGGACCTGCTGAAGGCAGGATCATCCATGCCTATACTATCCCAGACAAATATTTGTCTAACCTGTGCTCGTGCACTCCCAGCAAGAGGGATCCACAGCCTCTCTAGGGAATCTGTTCCAGTGTTAACCATTCCCGGAATGAGAAACTTCATAGTAGCTCATCTCAATCTTTCTCATTGCAATATGTCCATTACATTTTGTCCTGTCCTCTTCTTTCCAGACCTTCTTGTGACTTAGAGCCCCCCCACTTCTGTCTGCTCTTACTGAAACTAAACTAATAGCAGTTTTCCCAACCTTTCCTTGGCACGTCACTTTCTCTAGACTGCTAAATAATTTTGTTGCTCCCCTCTGGATTCTCTCCATATCATCCACATCTTGCTTCAACTAGTGCCCCACTGAATCTAGCGCTCCAGATGGGGC